ATTATATTCTAGATGTTAACCCCCTAACTAAAGTAGTCAAAGTAATCTTAAGCAGAAAGAATGGTGACTGAGGCATCACAATACCTGATCTCAAATTATGCTATAGAGTCATAGTTACCAAGTCAGCATTATACTGGCATAAAAACATAGACCAGTAAACAAAATATGAAGAAATAACACAACTAAGGCCATCTGTTTTTTGATAAGGATATATCAAAAACGATACTGGGAATAAAAACCAGTTTATTTGACAAATGGTGCTGATAAAACTGATAAAATGGAACTAGAATCATGTTACTCATGCTACTGAATCAATTCAAAGTGGATCAAAGGCTTTAATTTAAAAGCTGAAATGATGGAACTTCTAGAAGAAAACATTGAAATGTGTATAGGCAAGAACTTTCTGACCAACATTCCCACAGCACAGGGGATATCTCCAAGAAATAACAAAGTGAACTAAATTAAATTTTAAGTTTCTACATAGCAAAGCAAATTACCAGATAGTCTGTATAATGCTAGAAAATCCTAGCTTGTTCTCTTGAGAAAAAAACTAAAGAGGTTGTGACAGGGACTACAAAGTTAATTTTTTTCTATTCTGGGGTTGATTTTCATTTCTCAAAAAAATCCTAAATTATATTTTAGCGGTATTTCATATTGTGCATGGAAGCTCTAATGAAACTCCCATGAGTTCTCAGTCAGGAAAAAAAAAAAAACTTTAGATAAATATCTTTTCCAGAAAGTCAATTTTACCAATAATGAGGAAGGAAAATGTGTCATAGAAGTATCTGGATCTAAAAAATGCCATGAATAAAATAAATGTGTGAAGTATCTTGTTAGGACTTTGATATGCATAAATTCCTAGGTACATTTTCAATTAGTGGTAAAATGATAGTTAAATATTTAATTTGTTTGGTAGTTGCTCCTAGAACTATTATTATGGGGCAATTTAGTTGGTAATATATTTTTTTATGTTTTAAAACATGTGTTTGATGTGTCTAAGGTACGTAGCAATAATAATAGGCCCCACATTTCTAACAGCACTCCTTGGCTTTAATGTTGTTTGTTTCACAAGCCTTTGTGAGGGAAAATGTTCTGGGCAATAATTATTCATGAATGCAAATAAACATTGGATTACAAGAAAGGTAAGTCTTTCACCAAAACTCAAGTTGGTATCACAGTCTAAATGCAGTCATTAAAAATTGTAAAACTCTATCTACTGTTCCTGAGTGGGATTACTAAGTGGGTGAGTTCTGTAGTCACTATTTTCAATTCTATTCTTCTCCCCTTTGGAATGTCCTCATGAAGGAAGACAGTACCGTGTCTCCTTGCTTCTGTGGAAGGGTAGGAGCTAAACTCTTCATGAGCATCTTGTTCTAAGTGGCAAACTGCCTCCTGTTGTGGAGTTGGGTGGCATTTTATTTGTGTTTTGGGTGAGACCAATTTGCCAACATACATAGCATTTTTTCTCTGCCTTCCTCAGCAATGTGTCTACCGTAGTACTTTTGTCATACTCAACCTGGGAGGCCTACAGCAAATGTGGCCATGGCTGAAACCTAAATGTGAAAATTGGTCAGTCATCCATCATTAAAGATGAGAAATAGGTGAGCTGCGCAGAGCATTGTGGAGGTTCCAGCCCATCCTGTTTCCTTCTCCATGCATGATCCACAGAGGCCCAAGGCTTCCTCAGGACTGTTTCCTGGAGGAACAACTGAGAAGGTGCAGCCCTTCATTTTTAGAGGCATATAAATCCTTAATATTCATGATGCCCTTGGGAGGAGAGCAGATTTACTCATATCAGGGAGCCAACCCCCTAAGACACTATCTGCTATGTATTAATTTTGAGCCTAAAGGTGGTTTTCCAGGATGTGACTGAATCACCGAGCCAAGGGGGCAACAATGCCATGTCAGACACTCTCTTCAGGTCTAAAATGTTGGTTGTTACAGCCTTTCCTTCTTACGAGAAAATATCCTTATGAATTGAAAAGAGAGAGCTTGTACATCAAGTTATCTCCTCATCTACATGGGAGGACCTAGGAGTCTATGACTTCAGGGATCTTTATCATGGCTTAACATTAACCAGGGCAAGTACAGCTTGTGTTGGGGTTTATCAAAGTTTTTGTTACTGTTTCCTTCTGTGCTTTGTTTTTCCTTTTTTTTTTTTCTTAAAGAATCTGAAGTTAACTAGCTACCTGCTGATGGATGAACAAAAAAAAACAGACATAATGAGGCACTGGTGAATATTTAAGCATACCAATCGTATACACATTTGAAAGCAAAGAGCCTGGCTGATGGTGTCTGCTAGGGAAGGATTTATGAGTAAGATCTAGAGAGATGAGTCAAGTGCTTGCACAACCAGCATGAGAAGCAGATTTTGGATCCCCAGAATTCGTGTAAAATGCCAGGCCAGATGGCACAAGCTTGCAGTCCCATGGGAGACCCAGAGACTAGAGCCCACCCCCTTGCCCCAGGTTTGTTGGCCAGTCAATCTTACTCATCCCACTAGGGTCAGTGAGAGAACCTGTCTCATTATCATTGTAACAATAAAACAATAATGGAGAATGGTGTATGAAGACCCCAGTTATTAACTTCTGGCCCCCACAGCCAATGTTACACACCAGTGTGCATATCTACTTACAAGTGTACATACATGAAAACATATATGCACTTATAAATAAATATTACGTCTGTAAACACACAAAGTAAAAATGTATAATTAAATGCTCCTCTGTGTTATAGCTTTAGTAAAATTCTCCCTTTGCAAAAAAAAATAAGTATGTACTTTTTAATACAGATCAGTAGTTTTCAACCTGTGGCCCCTTTGGCAAACCTCTGTCTCTAAAAATATTACATTACTATCCATAACAGGAGCAAAGCTATTGTTGCGAAGTAACAACAAAAATAACTTTATCATTGGGAGTCACCACAGCATGAGACACTGTATGAAAGGGTAGCAGCACGAGGGAGGTTGAGAGCCACGGATGTAGCTGCTTCCTTATGAACTCCAAGCATATCTGAGTAAACCTTTCAACTTTGACAATTGTTTAAACAGCTTAACTGGAAAAAAGTATTGTTTTAAAATAACTTATTGAATTTGTTCTTAGACAATTTCATGCATTGAGTGCATTCTGATTAATGCAACTCCCACCTGCTCTCATGTCTTTCCCATCCCTGTTACCCGATTCGTCCCTACAATCCCTTTTCCAAAACATACAGGATAGGCATTATTCCATACTTTCAAAAAATATGGTTATGACTTCAGATACTAAATCATTTTTTGTTGTTTTTTGCTTGTTTGTTTGTTTTTCTATTGGCACTCTAGGGATAGAGTTACAATGGACAGACCATTACTTATTTAACCACACACTTACAAATTTGCCTATTGTAAAAGAAGAAAACCCGTGAGCTTTCACGAATGGGTTCAAGCATTCCCCCTTTTCTCAGAAAAAAATCCCTTTGGGATGTAACTAATGCAAAAAATGCACACTCCCCTCTCTTTTGCTTTCAGCAGGTTTTGCTTTGTTTCTTTGGAGCCTCTACCTTTAATCCCATCAATAGTTTGCCAAATCTACTAACGACACCCCCCACCATGGGGCATGCTTTCACCTCACCAGTCTCCTCATCACCCCTGAACCAATGCCAGTAGCTGTGTTACTCTACACCAAACTGTGAGACACCCTGCCTGAGGCTGGACTTAAAGCCTGAGCGGGCCACCACATTCCCACGTGGAAGAGGGGGGCCTTTGGCAGAGCCTGACAGAGTCCAA